AAGGATCAAAGGGGATCTTCGCGTTGAAAAGCCCTAGAAACCGACTCAGACAGATGCTGATCGTAACCACAAAAAGCAGGGCCCGGATGTTCATATTGATCAAATGGACAAGATTCCAAGATTTATTGAGACAATTCGCGTCAACACACGTCATGTGAAAATGTTGCAACCTGAGATGAAATCCTTTCGCTTATGGCGAAAACAATAGACTCGAATTCATGTAGATATATATAGCCGTAATTGAAGAAGTTTGACAATGAGAATGATGTTGCAGAATTCGTTATTTACCACGTGAGCAAACAACGTTTCAAGAAAAACTGATACATTTTTCTTGAGCTTTTTTTTTCGTTACTAAACGAAAGATAAACATGATTGCTTTGAAGAACGGTCGACATGTTCTAGAATGACTTCTTTGATCGTTTCTTCATGTTGTGAAGAAAAAAGAGGTAGCTATTGGAGTGTGCTTATGGATTAAGCTGGAGTCGAAGCAGTTCCCACTAATGCCCATTCTTGCACTTTTGCTAAAATTATAGTAGTATTCTATAATAGTATGGTACTGCTGCGAACGCACCTGACCCATACAAGAGAAAAACAATTCCAGCGATGATGTTGAATCCACTGCAAATCATGAACGAGGCTAGCCACTTGTCGTGGAAACCCTAGCATACTTCAGAATTTCTGTTATCTGACTTAACTTTAACCTACCATTTTCGATGTGAAACCAAGGAGCATAGGGCCACATATATTCCCCAGCATTCCAAATATCATCGAGACCGATGTAATCGATCCCGAGTATTTTGGCGCAATGCATAAAATGCAAGTGAAAAACCCGCATATACCCGCAGAGAAGACTGTACCTAAAGCTACAGTACTTTATAATATTGAAAAGAGATATCTTGAATCGTGTAACAGAAGTGCGGGAATCGAGAGTATACTGACCGTACAGTCCTAGTAGTGGCAGCGCTATATAGGGATGTTCACAGCTAGGTAACGTTGCAAGAGCAATCAGGGTCGCTGCCGAACCGAATGAACCTTGAAAACAGTCAAATGGAAGCAACTACTGGATAACACAAACTGATGTATCAAAGATGTTGGATTACCAATGGACTGAAAGACTTTGGCACACTTTGTATGTCCAATCATATTGCTTCTCTTGAGATAATCTGCAAGAACTGCCAGTACATTTTTTGATACCAATTGCGCTATGAAGGGTATCATTGTGAAGAAACCATTCTGAAAACTCTATCGGAGGATCTGCAAACGTAGCAAATTTGTACAACTCACTGCGCTAAGTGGTAACATCAACTCTTCTTTGAAAAAGGTGGGCAGAAAAGCTTGGAGCAACGATGCTTGCAGATTGTAGGTGAACTGACAGAATACTGCTGCGACTAAGGGTTTGGAGGTCAGCATTAGTTTCCAAGGCACAGGTAGGTTACCCTGAATATGCAAATAATTCATGACAAATTTTGATGTCGCCCTAGATCTGTTTGAAAGGCTTTTTGGACATGTCGTAGTAGAGTTGAATACAGAGGATGACAGCTTTATTTGTAGGAGACCTTAGTAAGTCGCGGATTTACCGGTTAAAAAAGGAACAAAACTCCATCTTGCCACGCTTTCAAGATGCCAAACAAAGCAGGTCTGCTACTTTGTTTGCCAAATTTTGCAGCTTTTATTGCCTGTCTGATTAGAGTACTAATGGAATGGCTGCTTTACTGTCGACCCCGGCCAGCTTCCCCTAAGTATCGTCGATTCGCGATACGCAAAGATTGAGCGCTCCTGCGTCCGACCAAAATAGTTTGTGCATGGGAGAGACGGCA